GGAAATATGGCGAATAGAGACATGACATCAGCGCTTAAATCGATTTTCCCGTTATCAAATTAGTTTACAATACAGTGTTTTAAAAGTAGTGGTACTTTTTCCCAAAGTTAATAATAATTTTATTATTTTAATGCATGCTCAACATTTTAAGTATTTTTTTTTGTAGTGATATACGAAATTTAAAAATTAATAATTATTTAAATTAATATTATTTTGTAAATATTTCTTTCTTTATAATTTATTATTAACATTATTTAAAAGTTTTTTTTTTTTTTTTTTTTACAAAATTGCAGAATATTAAATCGCATGATGCCTGTAGTTACTGTTTCAGGTAAATTAGTTTTCTGTTTAATCGGTTGTATTTGGTGTAAAACAAATGGCATCACCTGAGATTCTTGTTTTTATACAAGATGAATACTGTTCTGATTGCAAAAATAATAAATATAATTAATTAAATTGTCCTCTTTTTAAAAAGAGGATATAATGTCGATATGTTTGGTCTTGGCAGAATAGATCTACGCTGCTGCTGCTGTAGAGCAAGTATGGGACTTTCTACTGCAATGTATACACAACAAGCTGCTGTGAGCAAGCAAGACATGCTGCTGCTGTACAATATAGCATACATGAATTACCCGTAGCAGATCTATACAGGTGGAGCTGGGGAAGGTGGAGGGTTTCTGGAAGTGCGCTGCACTGCTACAGCAAATGCTGACCAAGTATTTAAAGGTTGAGCAGCGAGCTCATTAGCTACTGATAAAGCAGGAACCAATCAGCTGTGCCCTATAGAGAGTGACGTGATTGTAATCAGATTGAGTTAAGGACCTATCAGCCAGCACCATCTAGTTTCATGACAGAACGTTGTATGAGATACGGCAAGCAGCGGGCTTTTGACATTTTTATTAAGTTTTTAACAGAATTATAAAATTCAACACATATGCACCAAACATTTATCCACATGCACAGTTTTAGTATACAAGACAAAACAGTTACTTTTCAATGTGAAAATTTCATGTTATATGTAAGTCATCTCACAGAGATTATTCACTAATACATCAGTATTAAATTCCTAGGGCCGTGTGCAGTAGAAAACGTTAGGTTATCAATGCTGGCCGACTCTAAAAATATATAGTCACTATTTACATCAGGCCAAGGTCTCGTCATTTTTCATTTCAGATTACTTAGAAACATAATTGGATTGTAGCGATAAGATCTGTCATTAACAGCTCAGATTTTCATATTATATCAAAGTTTTGCCAAAGGGAAACCATAATGTGAAGAAATGAAACTCACTGATTATACAGCATACACAAAATTAGGCAAATTAGACTTCACAATTTTAAGAGTATCAAAGAAATCATTGCTATTAAACAACAATTATTGTTTCAGTGTTTATATGCATCATTACGCAGAGACTGTAACTGAGGGTTGATGGGGCACATTAGTTGGAGAAAATCAGCAAATGGAAAAACTAACATGTTATTTGTAAAGAGGGTGTCATAAGCAGCACTATTTTTAAATGACTGTAATATGAAATACTTATAGTACATATCAAATATTTATTTTCACTTTCCTATGCTGAAAAGAAACGAACAATGAATGCTATGTCTGAAATAATAGACAACAATTCCAAAGAGATAAACTCAACTATAGAACTATAAAGAACACATGACCATAAAATAAATGTAAAACTATTCATGATACTGGCTTTAAAATGAAAAGTGTTTGCAACCCACTTTACTTCTATAATGTAACATAGGGCAGAATTGTATGCAATTTATCCATCAGGGATAATTTAGACCAAACGCCATCTCATATTAAAGGTCTTGAAGAATAAGAGAACTCGGTGACATCAGTCGAAATGGAAAGTTGTTTAAGGGGCGGAGCCTATTTGAAATTAGTCACAATGCAACCAGGTATATGTATTAAGAAATGCTTAAATGACTTCAATGATGCTTAAATGCATACTGCCGTTCAAACTTTTGGTGTCAGTAAGGTTTTCTTTTGAAAGAAATACTATTCAGAAAGGATTAATAAAATTGATCAAAAGTGACAGCAAACCATTTACAATGTTACAAAAAATGGCTATTTCAAATAAATTCTGTTCTTTTGAACTTTCTAATTCATCAAAAAATCCTGAAAAAATCTATCAAGGTTTCAACAAAAATGTTAAGCAGGACTGCTGTTTTCAACATAGATAAGACATGTATCTTGAACACCAAATCAGCATATTAGAATGATTTCTGAAGACTCGTGACAGTGAATACTAGAGTAATGATGCTGACAATTCAGCTGTCACAGGAATACATCTACAATAATAAACAGTTTTTTTTTTTAATTGTAATAACATTTCACAATATTACTGTTTTTACTGTATTGTCTGGTCAAATAAATGCAGCCTTGGTGAGCATTCGAGCCTTCTTTCAAAAACGTAAAAAAATCTCACCGACCCCAAACTTTTGAATGGTAGTCTGCAACTCCTGAAATGTAGTTATTTTTCCCTTGCACTGACTTGTCATATGTATCTAATTCTTCTTCAAGAAACATTGAGCATTGTTCTCAGCATCTTTTTGCCAAATTCAAGTCCATCCAAAAACTGAATGGGAGAAGAGGGCAAGGACATCTCAGACACTCAAAGCACAAACTCCACACAAGATGGCTGACAGAAACACAGACATCAGTCAATCAAGCGTCTGCACTGTGACAGAGCAGAAAAATCAATATCCCATTGACTGGGCCACTGCAGCCTAATCAAGGTGCCCAGACCTTTATGAAAGCTTGAAGGAGAACAGATAGGCTGTCCTGATTTGGACTCTGCAGCCTCACTTTTTTAATCTCCCTCACTAACTTTTTAGACATGTCTTCATGGGCTGTTCTGCACCTGTTCTGGAGTCTTGGACTGAAAGGCTGTGTCACCGTGGTTCACTACCTTGTGCTTTCTTATGACTTTGAGAAGAACAAGTGCAAATTATGGACTCTACAGCCTGATACTGCCACGACAGAGCCAGGAACATATTGTCCAGTGAAGGCACTATTCCTTGGCAGCGAACCTCAGCATTAAAAGGTCACCCCCGAAGCGTCCCGGCCTCTTGTCTCATTGAAGGTACAAATGAGAAATTCAGAATTCAAGGCGCATTATATGGGCATCAACATGAGATATGATCTCCATATTTTGGTAATGCAATATCATAATGTGACTTTTGCACAGTAATACAGGACCAGAAAGGAGAACCACCTTGATAGGGACCTCTGGGGGCTATCACACATTGTACTTGTTTGCAAGGCTTTCAAATCTTTTCACATCCGCAAGGCCATTAGAGCTATAAAAATTTGATACGAGTCCCACTTCCAGCAGTGTTCCACATCTTGTCACTTAGTTTTTGACAACTTGTTTTGCAGTTTATGCCAGTTTACTAACATGCACAGAGACAAGTACAGGTAGACATGTATGAGTGCCTGAAACAAGTCGTCAGTAATTCCAGTCTCACCTCCTGCACAAACCTCTGTAGGTTTGTAATACATTTGCCTTATCCCAGACTACGGTCTTCATCGGCTGCCCGTGAACAACATCTACTTTGACCTGCCCTCAAACACTATAGTTGTAGCTGAGGCCTGGAAAAGTTTTTTTGTGAAAGCAAATTCACTTCAAAAAGAATGACGACTCAGGCTTGAATTGACATGGTAAAACCGACGCCATCATTACAGTTCCTGTCACTGTGTATACAAGTGCTGAGAAAGCCTGTAGAGAATAGTTTCTCGTGAGCACGTGAAAGTCTGTATATTTTTATTTTTGCAAAGGTCCCTTTAGGGGCTCCGTACATGTAAACCTATTGTAGGAAACCTCCAAAACTAAATTAGGAACCTTAAAAAAGTATAATAGGGGCACTTCAAAAGGCATGAATGGATTGTGAATAGCAATATAGTGTGGCGGGACTAACAAAAGGAAATTAAAGTGTGAAACTGGTTCAGCTGGATGACGTATAAGGAGCAAATTCTCACAGGAAAAGCAAGCCTTAATTGTGCAGAGTGTCTAATGCTTAATGCATCAATAATTTAACTGTCATGAAGTGTCGAACAAAATGCTAATACCCATCAAAGAGACTGAGAGGGAGCCTTTGGAGTCGATGGCACTGTAATCGGGACGGGACAGCGGCGATCATTTCTTAACTAATGGGAGATTTCCATTAAGACAAATCAATGCTCAGCTTTGTTAACCCAGACGCAGAACTTAGTTCAGCACAAAAGAAGCCACAAACCGATCCAAAAATCTGCATTATATTAGAGCAACTTCCCACCAACACTGGTTTCTTAGCCCTTGTCCTCAACTGCAAAACTATTTTTATATCTACTTTGGTGTGTACATGAATTTAAGGCATTGATTGTTCTCAAAGATCAGAGGAAAAGATGTTGCACACAGCATACAGAAGCGTATTATACAAAAAGCAAAAGCTTTCCCCCCCCCCTGGTTTTAGAGTGCCAAAGGAACATATAATATTATATGCAAAAACGTAATTTTCTTAAACTGTGTGTTTGTCTTGTTTGCCAATTATAAAAATATCTAAACACTACGAAAACAAGATCATTTTAGCTGTGTAAAACATTAAGTATATTATAATATTAGTTATATAGTTATTATATAACCTAATTATCTATAATATATATCTATCTATCTATATATATATATATATGTGTATATTAAAAAGTAAATTTATTTTTCTTACCCCACTGAGAAATAAATGTTCCTTGTTTTAAGCACAACAAATTATGACAGCAAAAAAAAAAAAAAAAAAAAAAAAATATATATATATATATATATATATATTTGCCAGAGGGATAAGAAAATAATAAAAGCTACAGTATATATATATATATATATATAAGCTATATTCTCTGTAAAGTATCTTAATATTTTATGGTTAAGTTCATTTAATTTAAGTTAATATTAACTTTTTTTTTAAGGATGTTTAGATATTCTTACAGGAAAAAAAAAAACACCCAAAAAAAAAACTGATTCAGAAAATATTTTTTTGCAGTCTGTTCTAGTCCATCCCAAAACCCCTAATTACTCTTGTGCAGGCCTTTGCCATGTTTACTAAAGATGAATTTCCCAAGATTCCCATGACATTTCAATATCCGGCTCTTTCAAACATGTTGCCGGAGCTGGTGAATCCCATCAAGTCAGACTGTAATGAGAAACATAAGCCTTGTATAAGGAAAGAGCAGAAAGTATGTTTTTCTCGGTGAGGCCTGGTCTGGTGCTCATGGGAGGCGAACATCAGGAGGCACTGAGCGTCGACAGAGCGCAGATGAGGAGCGGAGAGAGAGAAAGTGTGCACAGCCTTCCCGCTCTGGATCCACGTGCACCCATGCCTGTAAGCAAACGCAAACACAACCATTAAGAAACACTACTTAACCTCCCAAAGGAGAGACAGACAGACAGAGCATTGTGGTTTCAATTCGCAGACAGCTCTTTCCTGAATCAAAGAGCAATTGTATAAGATCAGCTCCACAATATAAATTATTAGGCAATTTCCAAGAACAAATTATACTCTGAAAGTCTTAAAAAATAACTTTTTTTCCTTTTCCAAATAAATGGTCAGAAAATTGTCAGTTTCAGGGAGTCAAAGCCAATATCAATTAATATATTAGAATTTATATATATATATATATAATCATATATTTTCAAAATATATCTAAACGCACATACACATATACATTATATTTATTATTAACTTACATTGACCCGATGTAACGGACAATATAATGTACATTTTTGTTTACGTATTTTATTTGAAAAACTATATATATTTTGTTGCAGGAATTATTTACATTATTTTAAATAATTGGAAATATATATATATATATATATATATATATATATATATGTATATATATGAAGACTTCAGATGCAAAAGCCTCTAAGTGCAATCTATCGTTCTAGAATGATCATTTTTTATCAAGCTTGTATGTTTATGTTCAGTTATTTCACTTTAATGTCAATGAAAATTACCTATTAATTGTCATTAAAGTGAAATTACTGAACTTGAATATACGAGCCTGATAAAAATGCGCATTTTAGAAGAAAATTTCAGGTGGCACTTGAGGCTTTTGCATCTGAAGTCTTCATATATAGCTGGATAGAATGGTAGAGCTAGACGAATGAAATGTAACATGATACTTTATAGATAGATGATAGTTTATCTAGCATATCTAATAGTTCTAACCAAAAAAAAAAAAGAAGAGATCTGTGCCTATCATACCATATCTAATGCTCATCATACCAATTCATACCCTGTTCTTGGAAAGAGCCATTATTGAGGAAAGTATCCCGTGATAATGCTCGGGTTGAATCTGTAAGCAGATCTCTGTAAGAAGGGGGAGGGAAGTAGAGCATGTTTTGATTGCCGCCCATTTGAGGGAAAGAAGGAATTGGGGGTGATTCTCACTCATTTATATGCCACTCGGGCTTCGCAGTGACAGAGATAGATAGCAGAGGAGTGTGCATTTCTTAAAAGGTCGGATTCTATGACTCACTGAAAGACTGAAGTGAACAGAGGAAAATATTTAGGCGTCCAAACCGACTGAATCCCCATTAAGAGCTTATCAATGCCAGCGGAAGATGAAATAAAAGACGGCAACAGGAAATGAGACTTACTGAGTTGGTGGATGTGGATAGGCTCGCTTCCTTCCCCCAAGCCCCCTTCACTGAGGGTCTTGATCTGAATGACGTAGTTGTCATTTGGATTGAGGGTCAACTCCACCGAGGTTTTGTTGGTGATGACAGAGTACATGTCGTTATTCCGGTGTCTTCTGTACAGCACCTGCGGATGATGGCACCCCAATCAAAGTTTCATTCAAAAGAATTAAAACTAGGGCTGTTAATCATTTAAAAAATAAAATGAATTACGTTATAAGTTCATCAATTAGATCTATTGCAATTTGTCACATATTTGCTGAGAAAAGCCCCCAAATGTATATATTTTTTAAGACATTACATTATTGTGGCATTATAATAGACATACCGTATATTATAATAGACATAGACAAAATATTTTTTTTTTATTAATTACATGCATCAAATTGACAGCTCTAATAAAAACTGAAATGAATCACATTCGTCCTTCAATACAAACCTATTTTATGAACTGACCCAAGTCAGATCGCTTTGAAAAATAATAACATACCTCTTCTCAAAAAGCTGCATGATTTGAGGCATCATTCGTGTCTGTAGCAGTTTAAGATTTAGAGAAAGTGGTTCATTAAAATCTCTATTCCTAAGTATAAGCAATAGCAGTGATGTTTGCCATGAAAGGAGTTAAACATAGGTGATGCCCTGTTATTCTACAGTAGATAATGTTTACTGATGCTAATGGCTAGTAGTACTTTTCCCCTGAGCTTCATGACTGTTTTCCCTTGTGGGGAAATTAGTACTGTGAGAGCTGTTAATTGCATGCATTTGTAATTAAGAGAGAGGTGGAACGAGACATGAAATAGCATATGCTGTGCCCTTATCTATAAAAACACACAAATGAATGGGTTTCGGGCATATCTTTGTAGCTAAATTACTGCACCTGACAACCCTTATTATGTGTATCAATAGTATCAGACGCAATAATGCATTGTAGTTCCTGCCATCATTGTTTGGCTCACAATGTAGCAATGGATATGCCTGCATGCTAAAGGGAAAGCGATGAATTACTTCCAGTAAAACTCTCATAAAACATCCTAATAATGTCACTCACTATGTATCCGGTGACCTCAGATTCAGTTTCGAGAGCAATGACGGGATCCCACTGAAGCAAAAGCTGAGAGCCAATCAGATTCCACTCTACATTCTGAGGGGGCTGTCCAGGCGCTGAGGTTTGCGTGTGTGTGAAAGATATGGACAGAAGAAGAAAGAAAAGGTTCACAATGTGCAATCAATTGTGTTATTGCATTCAATGACACAAACACGTTTAACAAACTCATTAGTACCGTTAGCAGGGATAGTTATTTCAGCCCATATCCATTGCTAACTGTTTCTCTCATAGACGGACTTGGAAACTGTGATTCATACCATACTAATTAGATAGAATTGATTTTGGTTTTAAGCCTCTACAGTTTGACACTGTCTGCTGTTCAGCCCTGAATGATTTATAAATAAACATGACTTGACTTCATTTGACTACTACAAAAATAGATGGTTAAACTCCTTCAGTAGGGAAAAAACACACCTTCAAGTCATGTCTCAGCAGTTTCTGTGAATGGTTTCAACAACAACACTAAAGAAATTTACAAGCAATATGTAGATCTGTCCAAAAGTTATAAGTTATGAATATTTCAGAGCACAATTCTGCTAGTTTATCTACTACTCGGTGCCTCAAGCAAAAATGTCTTTGACAACTTTAAAAGATTTGATGGTCCTTAAAAAAACTCTGCTGAATGTTATGGGAGTTTATTCCTGCAGCAGAGTAAATAAAAAAAATTATAATTTAGAAAAGTTTTAAAAAGGGGACCTATTATGCCCCTTTTCAAAGTCTTGATTTTGTTTTTGGTGTCTACAAGAATAGGTGTTCAAGCTTGAATGTTCAAAAAACAGCTTATTTTTCACATATTTTATATTGTTGCCTCTCTTCCCCTTCAGTCAGTAACACTCCATTTAGTTCCTGTATCTATGAAGCCCCTCCTTCAGAAAAGCGCAATGTACTCTGGTTGGTTGGCTGGACCAGTGTATTGTGATTGGTCAACCGCTTCGAGCGTGTTTTGAAAATGTCACGCCCCTTACTGTATGCCTTTGGTGGGAATTATTTATATATTTACTTATATACTTTATAATTATATAAAGAATAGTGTGACATATGTTTCTGGAAGAAAACTCAAGACTACAATCGAGGCGTTTCAGGGAGTTCAGAATCAGTGTGCACTGATATAGAGAATTACTCCCTTTGGAGTGAACTCTGTAACTTTGCAGACATTTTTCATACTCAAACAGCAACATTACACACTAGAGAAAGCGTAAAAAAGGCATAATAGGACCCCTTTAAAAAGAAATGCATTCACAACTGTGAGATATAAAGTCGCAGATAATTTATTATTTTGGTAACACTTTAGTTTAGGGTCAAATTCTCACTATTAACTAGCTGCTTATTAGCATGCATGCTACTATGATATTGGCTCTTTTATTAGTACTTATAAAACACATATTAATGCCTTATTCTGCATGACCAGATTGTACATCACTTAATCCTACGCACTACTACCTAAACTTAACAACTACCTTACTAACTATTAATAAGCAGTTATTAGGAGTTTATTGTGGTAAAAGTTGTAGATAATTGTTAGATAATAGTGAGAATTGGACCCTGAACTAAAGTGTGACTATTATTTTTATTCTGAGATCGAAACAGGCTTCCATTGAACCTTCTTACATTCAACAAAGAATATTTTACCAATATCTTCCAAGTAAAAACCCATACATTGAATAATTGTCTAAAAATGGACTCACGTGTTTTTTTGGTGGTAACATTGACAGGTACGGACTGGGGGCCAGTTCCTGCAGTATTGAAGGCACACACCGCTAAATAATACTGAGTGTTCCCCTGCAGGCCGCTGACATTCACTGCTGTGTAGTTTCCAGTGATCCGCACTTTACCCACTGTATCCGGCTTGGTGTCATCTTCCCAGTACACCACCTGTTCGCCAGGACACACAGCAAGGGCATTTTATATATCCTTGACTATGTTTTTACATGTAAATAGCTCTCTGCCAATACAATTACTCACTCTTGCAACTAGGGATGGCCCGATACCATTTTTTTTCAAACCGATACGAGTACGAGTATTTACATTTGTGTACTTGCCGATACCGAGTACCGATACCGATATTTCTACCGCAAAAGTAATAGGCTCCCAGAAAAGAAGACGACTATTTTAGAACACAGGTTAGAAGACTGTTTTTATTTTCTTCTCTGCTTGTTTTAACAAGTCTAAAAATAAAAAAAAATTAGTAAAATAATAAATGTATTAACACACAAACCACTGTTAATTTAACATAAAAGCAAGCAGGCTACTGCGTGCATGGTCTGGCATGACTGAATGCGCGCAAAGTGCGCTCCCTTAATAAATCCTAAAAGCTGACAGTTCATCACGATCTCACACATCTCTGTTATTATCAATGAAGCTGACTGCACAATCAATCTTTCATAATATCCACACTTTGTTTGTTATAATTAGAGGATTTGCCAGCATACAGAATTCAGCACTGAACAAAAAAGTCCGTTTTGAGCGGTGAGGGGAGTCTATCTTAAATGCTTCTGATTGGCCATTGCGTTCCAGAAATCAACACATATGTCTGTGATTGGCTACATCGCTCAACGCTGTAACCATGTTATGAATAGAAACTCTGTCCTGTAAATCGTTTCTATTTTGTTGTAGTTGTTCTTGTTGCTTTTCTGCAAGAGATGAATAAAAATCTTTTAGTTTTTATGTTTTATTCATAGATATTTCTAGTTTGCGGGAGTCCCGCGAATCGTTTTATTCTCCCGTAACCCGCATACACAGAGTGAGTGCATTACCACCCGCGCGCGCGCTCGGCCATCAGATCTATGATGCGTCTTCAGATGTTTAGATTGCTGGTGTTAAACGATGTACTTTCTTTCCCTCCTCTCGACACCTTAGCTGAACATAACTCACAGTCTGCCTTGCTGTTGTCATCATCCCTTATCTTGAAATGAGCCCAAACCGCCGGCATTATACTTTCCTATGCCTCAGTTCACCTCGACAAAGCACTCGCGGCGGCCAGTTTCGTTTTGCAAAATGTACGTGGTATCGGTGCGTGGTATCGGCGAATTTTTATGAGTACGAGTACGAGTATATTAGGACAGTATCGGCCCGATCCCCGATGCCAGTATCGGTATCGGGCCATCCCTACTTGCAACCCACTGTGACCCTAAACATTGCAGATTTTCACAAAGTGCTACTATGCAGATAAGAGTTTGACATGTTCATTTCACTCAAAACTTATAAACTGAAATATGTTAACTGGGTTTACAGTGTTAAATATCAGGATAATATACAAAGTAAATGCCACATTTTTTTAATCTGCTGCCAAAGAAGGTGAGACATGATATGCACAAAATGCATTACAGTCATTACACTTGGCATGAGATTTCTGATGAGTCTTTCAACATGACACGGTTTTACGAGATTTCACGATATTTGACTTCACTATTCACTTCATTCAGCTTATCATGTGTGTCTTTTTTGCAGCTTACAAGCTTGAGAACATATCTCTGGCTATCTGGTAATATGATATTTTAGTAAAATTGTATGGAGATTCCCTTAAGGATATGAAATTTCAATTAACTTTTAGCTGTGTGTGCTAGGTGAAAAACAATTAGATAGCGGAAATGAAATAATCAATTATTAACCCTGAGTCCTATGTAATATCAATATTGAGGCATTAAGTATTTGATTAGATAATAATGAGATCCAGCCAAGGGAGGAATATTTCTAAATTATTTATTTTCTACTTTTAGAAATGTTGTCCATACAGCAGGGTTGTGCGTCATTCAGACTTGAATTGAGAATTCAGTTATTCATTCCAATTCAGTTCCTACATTTTAACTGAGACCGCAAACATGTTGCAGAATTTTAATTCAAAATTGAATGTAAGGAAGTAGAAATCAACAAATTCAAAGAAAGTCACGGAGAGTCAGACAGACTTTTGAAATGCTACCTACAGTATAGACATTTTTGTTTACTCTACTGTTCAAAAATTGGGAGTCAGTAATATTTTAGAAAGAAGAGTCTCTCCAATTTATTTGATTAAGAATACAGAAAAAAGTTAATTGTTAAATATTATTACAATTTAAAATAACTGGGTTTTTTTTTTTTTTTTTATATATTCCTTGACGGAGCTGAATTTTCAGCATCATTACTCCTGTCTTTAGTGTCACATGATCCTTCAGAATAGGTATTCTATGATATATGTATTCTGTATGATTCTGATATGAGTGCTTAAGAAATATTTCTTATTATTATCAATGTTGAAATCACTTAATCATTTTGTGAAAACCGTTTTTCAGGACTCTTTGATGAACAGAATGTTTAAAAGAGCAGCATTATATTGTTTTGTAACAAAGTAAAAGTCTTGACTCACTTTTGACCAATTCAATGCACCCTTGCTTAAAAAAACAATTAATTTCTTTAAAAAAAACAGAACTTTGGAACGGTGGAGTATATATTTTATCATATTTCATAAACTTTTGTAGATCAGGGAAGACGAACACTTTCCCAGAATGCATTGCCTGTGTTGAATTACTTTGATTTGCAATTCAAAGTAAATCAAAGTTTGCAATGTAAAATCTTATTTCAAAATCTTACTTCCTGTGGGTGTGACTGAAAAGAATGAAGTCATGAATTGAAAAGAAGCATTAAATTAGAAAAATGCTAAATAGATGCATTTGCATGAGTGGTCTCAGACTTTTGGAGCTCACTGTTTGGTTTTGTGAAAGAGGAAATGCAGTGATGGTTTAAACAGGAATTTTCTATTTCAAATATTGCAGGTGCTTCAAAGGACCTTGAGCACAAATAAATGGTATATACGGCGTACAGCGCAGTTCCTTGATCCATGCTGCTTTGATTTGGTCTTTCAGTCCTTGCTAACCAAAGACGAGACAAAAATAAAACCTAGAAAGTTTTCTTTTTTCCCCCTCATCTAGAATCCACTGACATGATAGTTCTATTCTTTCCAGACAATACGGCAGCTACCATGGCAACGTGGCTGTTTTGTGCCTCAGGGCAGGGGTGACAGAGATGGAGAGAGTGGCTTGTGAGAAAGCGAGGCACTCTTTGCATTCTTGAAAGGCCAGCGGAGAGCTTTCATCCAGCTTCTGAGAGACGCAGACATTTAACAAAGCGCTGTCTAAACACTGGCATTCTCGATGTTTGAGGTGGCATGGGAGAGGTGAGAAGCACTTTTAATAATTGCTTGAGATCAGCATTGCATCATTACAGGAAAAACATGACATTGAACGTTACAGTGAATGGCAAGACAATTGAATCAAACCTCATATCCGAGAACTCTTTCAGGGGTGACAGGAATCGGCTCCCAGGTAACTTCGATGTCGGCCGCCGACAGACTTTTTGCTGACACCCTCTCTGGCGGTACGCTCGGCACTGCGAAGGAACAGAGACATGTTGAGGCTCTTATTCAAAAAGCTTTCCAAAGCCAACGAGGTAAAATTGGATTAAGTCAGAGAAAGAAGCCCCGGTCTCACCTGAGAGAGGCCCTACTTCATTTTAATGGGAACTGTGACTGACAGAGAAGGAGACAATCTGCTTGGAAAATTCAATTAACACTCTAGCACATGAATAGGCCTGTAAGTGTCTAGCAGGATTTCTTGTAACCTATAGCAGCAATAACTAATATAAGGTTGTCATTCGCAGCTTGAACGAGGGAGGAGGGGCGAAAGCTGTCTCAATCAACTTATTCCATTATTCTCATTCAAGGTCACACCTGTATGCGTGAAGGGAGGGAACCGAGAGTGTGTGAGAACGTGAAGGGACTATTGCTGAGTCGGAATGTGTGCCTAATATTTTAGCTCCACAGGCCCACACAATGTATCGTTCACTGGCCTATATTAATATTTCCTGTTGATTAGGCTAGTATTGAAAGCAGCTAACATCAGGAATTAGACTATGAGGCTTATACGTAGGACTAGCAATTTGGGCTAATTGTACTATTTTGCTATTATTTTCTATAGTAAATATTACTATTAATGTGCCACACTTCCTCTCTTAACTTACTGCTTTTTGTAAATGTTTCAATATATGTTTTTTAACTTAAAGGGGTGGTTGATTATGATTTCACTTTTTTAACTTCAGTTAGTGTCTGCAAAGTTACAACGCTTAAAGTTCAATGCAAAGGGAGATATTTTATTTTACAGAAATCGCTTTTTAAGGACTACAACAAACGGCTGGTAGGGACTACAATGAGCTTCATGTGTTAGTAACATCACTAACCCTAAAATATACATAAACCCTGCCCCCGGGAACAGGATTTATAGATTATATGCTAATCAATGACTAGAAGATAGTTAACTCCACATCAGCTACATACATTCATCAACTAACCCAGTGGCGTAGGCAGAAATTGTATTTTGGGTGGGCCAGTGAAAATGTGAGTGGGCCTATAGTTTTTCATAGAAAAAAATGACTTCAGTAATAATTAACCTTAGAGAGTAGAAAAATTAATAGACAAACTGCAAAAACAGTTACACCTTTATATTCGGCAAATCATCATGTTCAACCAACAGAGCTTAATAAAGGCTGGACAAACCAGTGTAGACAATAACCTGTCTATTTTATTCAGGCTAGTCAGCAGTGCAAAGACAGTTCACCCGAAAATAAAGAAAGCTAAAATAATATTATCGCAGTTAGATCGGCGGGTAAACCCGCGTCAGGCTGATCGGGAGAGAGGGAGCAAGCGGCCGCCGCCACCAGCACCTGACTAGCCTTCTCCTGGGGTAATCAGTCTGAAGAACTGGGCTGGGTGGACTCGGAAGATGAAGCCAGTGGCGTGTCTTCTTCCTCAACTCTTGCTTTTTTCAAATAGCACATTAAAGAAAGTTGTTTAGCCATTATTGTGGCACCGGCGCCGCTGAGAGTTTTCCTGTCGGAACCCCCAGCAACCAATAACGTTCCGGAGGGAGGCTTTCTACAACTTGGTTCGACAGTTCCATTTTATTCGGGAAACGAATTAAACACACACAGCAGTCAACAATAAATCAGGTATATATTCATATATTTTCTTAAATACATTTGAATAAAAATAAATTAAAAATGTATTTTTATCAAACTTGCCTGGGCGGGCCAGTGAGTAATGTGGGCGGGCCAGTGCCGCCCTGGCCCAATACTGGCTACGCCCCTGAACTAACCATTCAGACATGTCCTGTTGCATTCTACATGTTGTCACTTCTTCTTGAGTCTCCCCATCTTTGTCTGACTCCGGTTTGAACATAGAAGGCTAAAAGTTTTAGAAATTTTCAGTACATGTCTGTGTGAGGAAATCGGAGCTGCTAACACCCAAGCTCTTAAAGCTCCGCCCTCTGTGCCAGGAGCAGCAGCAGCTCATTTGCATTTAAAGGGAAACTACGTGCTTTTACTCACTCCCAAAAAGTGACAATTTTAACATGCTATAAAGCATATCGGTGGAGTATTTTGAGCTAAAACTTCACATACACACTCTGGGGACATCAGAGATTTATTTTACATCTTGTGAAAAGGGCATTATAGGACCCCTTTTAGTAAATTAGTCTGTAATTTAAAGAGGCTTGAAAAATAAAAATTATAATACTGGCCATCACATTGTTATCAGTCATAATAAATATAATTAAATGACCTTAGTTGTTTTTATCACTTTAAATCTGTAAAAAAATAAGGTTAAAGTTATTCTATGCACATGTGTTTGTGAGTGTTGATGTACATAAATCCAGCTCTACCTTCTTCTGCGGAGAACACTGTTGCAATAGTGCTGAAAGGTCCTTCCCCGCGGTTGTTGAACGCTCCCACTTTGACATTGAACGGCGAGAATGGTGGAATGGTGTCATTGCGGAAAACGTAGCGGGTGACGCTGAGTGCCGAGATCACGGCGCGGGTCCAAGTGACCATGCCCACTGGCCGGAAAGCAATGATATAACCAAAGCCCTCTCCGTTCTGCAACTCCTCTGGAACAGGCTTAAAGTGGAACACAAAACTATAGTGATATTAAAACAAATTGAGGTCAACACACCAACTGACCCACATGACAACAGGGCTTTATTAGCACTTAGTTTAAAAACCGCTTTCTTTCTCAATTGTCCGTTTTTTATTGTTATACATGCAAGTTTCATAACCTCTTCATAACCTATATAGAGAGACTATATGGAACATTTAAAGGACTTAACTCACCTAAAAAAAAAAGCAATTTGGTAATAAATATGGTTAAAAAACAATACTTTGTACACACTGCTGTTTAAAAGTTTGGGGTTGGTAAGATTTGTAATGGTTTTGAAAGTCTTTTATTTTCACCACGGCTACATTTTGTTAATTAAAATATCTGTTTTCTAGTTCAATACATTAAAATGTCATTTATTCCTGTGAATTTTCAGCATCATTACTCATGTCTTCAGTGTCACATGATCCTTTAAAAATAATTATATTATGCTGATTTGCTGCTCAAGATAACATTTCTTATTATAAACAATGTTGAAAACAGTTGTGCTGCTTAATATTTTTGTGGAAACTGTGATGTATTTGTTTAGGATTATTTGTTGAATAGAAAGCTCAAAAGAACAGCATTTATTTGAAACAATTTTTTAACATGAATTTATTAGTCACTTTTGATCAGTTTAATGCATCCTTGCTGAATAAAAGTATTAATTAAATTATTTCTTTAAGACATATAACTGTTGTTGAATAAGCAGCAATTCAAATGTCTTTTACTGTTTTTATTACTCCACTTTTGCTGAAATTGCTATTGTGCCACTCCAGTCATTGTTGAACCAGGACAGTTACAGAATAGTGCAAAAATGGCCCTCCGACATGTGTTTGTATTTAGGTTAGCTTAAACGCACTAAATCACTGCTACAGTTCACAAAAGGCTTTGAAATTCAAATGCACCAGCAAATTTCTGCAGAATTTCTTATGCTCAACAGCAAAATAATGTCAGAATTTTCCCTTGCTAAACCCTAACTTCCATTATGTATCTGAACAGAATCAAGCCTATTTGTGAGTGAAATAAACTTCTAAGAAACTCTCTGGTCCTGAGTTGACTTTCATTTGGAGAAGTAGTAAAGTCTGGAGTCCAGAGGGCAGGAGGGAGGGCTACAACGATCATAAAATGGCTACATTTCATTCTACACAATTAAGCACCGGCATTTAGCCCAGGCTGGCCGAGGTAGCAGTAAAATCTGACAAATGACTTACCTCCCATGTTATCACTAATTCCGATTTGGTACCTCCTCCGCCTCCAACATCAGTGGGAGCCGTGTCAGGTACTGCGGGCAAAAACCCAAAGAAGAGATTAAAAAGCTGTCGGCAGAGCTCTGATTGGGATTTTTCATTGCAAGTTTGAGCATTAAAAGTGTATTTAAATTTTCATCACATTAAGACTCTAAACTATCACTCTCACAGAGCTTCTGCCTTCTTTAAACCACCCCCTTTAGAAATGTGTGAATAAAAGAATGCATAGGTTTGAGTGTTGCATGTGGAGTAAAAGTGACAGATGTATGGTTTGCTCCAGTGCTTTCAATTTTAGTGCCTGTCTGAACTAGAAAGAGATCCAGTGGAGTCTCACACTAGCATACTCACCAGCGTCTTCTGTTCTGATCTTGGTAGATGGGGGACTGGGCTCTCCCATGCCAACACTGTTACTGGCCAGCACTCTGAACTCATATTCCACCCAGGCGTTTAAACCCACAACGGTTGCAGTCAAAGTATTCCCATTGATCACCTCAGGAACTGAGGATAAGAAGAACAGTAAAATACAATAGCAACTAACTTGAAACAAGTTCAAGTTTAAGCACTAAAATTAAAACAGAAATACAAATAAATAAATAAAATGATGGAAGCTTGTTTCCGCCACTGAATAAAAAAAAAAGGTAATTGTGACTTTTTGTCTAACAACTCTGACTTTTTTTTCTCAGAATTGTGAGATATAAACTCTCAATTGCGTGTTATAAAGTCAGAATTGTGTGATATAAAGTCGCAGTTGCATGTTATAAAGTCAGAATTGCGAGATACAAACTTTCAATCCTCACTTTTTTCTCGCAATTCTGACTTTCATAAAAATTTATATTGAATCCTATTGATTTATATCTCACAATTCTGACTTTATAACTCACAATTGCAAGTTTATATCATGCAATTCTGAGAAAAAAGTCAGAATTGCAAGATAAAAAGTTGCAATTACCTTTTTATAATATTTTTATTCTGTGGTAGAAACAAGCTTCCATAGAAAACAAATAAACTAAAAACTAATATTACATACATTGTAGGCTTTATATATATTTTTATAACTTTATAAAATAAAATCATAATTCAGCTTTTTCATTGAGATTGTTTTTTTTTTTTCATGTTCTGATCACATGGATATTATTTCCATGTACAGACAAACACAATGGCATGTGTCTGGGATGGGCGATGTACCTGTGTCGACAGCTTGCCAGCCGACAGTAAAGGGAGTCCTGCCCTGGATGACATATCCTGTTATGGGACTTCCGTTGTCCTGGCCTGGGCTCCAGGACAGCTGGGCCGTGCTGTCTGTGACCTCCTCCACCACGACCAAGTCTGGGGGGCTGGGGGGACCTGACTCAATCACATAGCCCATAAGGAATTGAATTAATTAGGAGCATTTGATTATACTTCACACCTGCTCAAATGTTACATTTGGCCCATGCACTGTGCATACTGATGACTTGGAAACTGCCTCACTCTGATTAGAAGAAGACTATTGTTTAGGAGTGTGTGTTCTAAGGTGTTAGACATGGCAAGCTTGTGCTTGTGTATGCTTGCATCAGTTTTAGCAAGGGCAACAAGTTGTGTGTATGTGTGTACGCTTGTATATGCGCAACTAAATGATTCATATTTCTCCTCCAAATAACTCTCTGCCATTTAAATGTTTTCTCTTCATTTGCACTGCATTCTGAGGCCCGGCGTGCTGCTTAGCCGATGTGTAAATGAGCCAATTAAAGACATCCTCTATGATAAACAGCTCCTCTCCAAACACCTGGGACAGAACCGTGATGTGTAATGACCATGAATACCAATGTGACTCAAAAAAACGCAGCAGCAAAGACGAGGCCCCATAAAACATCCCAAGTGACACATTTAGCACTCTCTGAACTCTTGCTACATTAGCAGTGCCCTTTTATTGAAATACACACCTCGCAGGAAGCTCTTCACTGTGGAAGAAGGCAAATATTGTGCATGTAGACATAAACCGAAGACAATTTGTTCCCACCTTTAACGACTAATATTGCGTCAGCAGACAAACTCTCGACGTCTGTATCAACAAGGCAAACGTATTTCCCACCATGATTAAGCTGGATGTTTCGAATCATAAGATCACCGGAAAAGCTCTGTTGGAAAAGTGGAAACACAATATGAAGATTACTGCTTTAATAATTTATCATGTTGTTACAGCACAAGACACCTATCTCTAATGATAAACACTAGTTTTATAATTATATAAATATGAAATTGGCGTTAGATTGATGTAAAAAATAATCAGATCTATTCCCACATACGTAAGTGGCCCCGCTCAGAATTGTAAATGTCACATCCAGTGATTTTTACTGTTTACACAGTCATCCAACAAACCAGATCTGTGTCACACACATATTTGGGACACTTGCAACTGCAGAGTTATTATAGCTTGCTTGAGTAACAAAGAACCGGGTTTAAACAACAATATTTGCTGCCATTTTATTAAGTAATTATCACCAAAACAAAGGCAGGTGCAATAATGTTCCCTGTCATGCTATCTGCAGATTTCTGCATACTTAGACACTCATCCACCCCTTTAAAATGGCTGCTGTGCTCTTGAGATATGCGTGGACCTTCATAAACAGCCTCGGTGACTAGCCTCAGGGATTCACTCAGATCCAGCTCTCTCAGACACTAGGAGCTCAGTGAAACACACACACACACTGTGGCTAATTGGTAAGACGATACTAATTATTCCACAATTACATAAGCCATGACCAGGTAAATGAACAAAGAACATGCAGAGTGAGAGTGAATATTGTTCCAGATATGCATAAGCAGATAAGTCATAAAGACTCTGCATTTCTGGTACAGACTTCGTTTTAAATGAAGACACAGCTAAGCATAAGACAGCACCGCGTGCTAAAGAAGCAAATTAAATTAAACCTAAAGACTTTAATTGACAGGGTTTTCTGATTGAATGCTGTTGTTTTGATGAACCGACATTGACTTTCTAAAAATAAATAATCCAAATAAAAAATAAATAAACATTTTATTTATGCTATTTTTCCTATTAAGATGATGATAAAAAATTTAAAATAAAACTTTTTTTTTTTTTTTTTATAAAATAAATGATGAAACTTCAAGACTGCAGACACAATTTATCTCTGTGTTTCTCCCTGGCTTTTAAATAAAGTATGCCCAGAAGTTCATAGAAGCTAAATCATAGCAAGCCTACATGTCACATTGATGTCTCTAGTGGTCTACCATCCCCAAACCACAGACCACTAACTCTACTGTAATAGTACATAAAAGTGTCTGATGCCCTCCATGCTCTCAAAACAAGACCAGCACTTATGTTTGACTGTGGTTTCCTCTCAATCAAGTTCAATTGCTATTAAAAAAATGCCTTAAACTCAATCAATATCACTAAGAGGGCCCATTCAATGGTTCAATGGACTCCAAAATTTCAGGGTTGGACAGGGAAGACTGTGGAGCGGGTGATGTTTAATTATGGTAATGCACTCATCAGAGGCTGCTGAGACGGAAGGAGTAATCTTTGGGAGCAGAGAGAGTGTGAATCCGTGAAAGCCATATCTCATTATAACCCTCATCTGCATATGTCAATGTCATATGTAATTGCCCTTGAGAGAAGCCCATGTATGAACTTTACGCAGCCACCAGCACATGACAATAAAAGGCAGGGCCTGGCCGTGGGTTTGAGTTGTCCGAATCAAGATCATGATAATGGACCCAAGGGGTGTGGGGGAAAAAATTATATATTTTATTTGTATTTATTTTATAATAAAGAATATTAATATTTAATCATTTATTTTAGAATATTCTAAAAATGTTTGTAAAAGAAATAAGTTATAGAACCATATTATAATATAATTTCCTTTTTCAGCTCAATACAATTTAGGAAGTTACGATTTGCCTATTAAAGCAACACTTTGGAACTTTTCAACCTTCATAATATATTTCCAAGACCCTTGTGATGGTACATCGACTTACAATAGGTTAAATGACACGTCTGCCATAGCCTGACATGGTCTGTATCGCTTTTACTCGCACTATGTAACTTGGGGTTTCGGGTAGGAACCCGTGCACAAAAAGAACTACAAAATTCGACTGCTTTACGGCATACGTCACTTCCCCCACCACTTCCTCAAATTGTCTATGGCCATTGCAGACATCCCAAGTCTATAGCGTCTCCCTGATGCCTGCAAATTACTTCAAATCTGCCGGAATCTAGAGCGCGCATGCGAGACAGAACATACTGCGCGCATAACATACATAGCGCGAGCACGGCAGAGAGGGAGAGAGCGAGAGACCTTGCGAGTGTGCCTCACGAAAGCTAGTCAACCCGCCACCCCCCCACCCCCCCACCCCCCCCCACCCCCCCCAAGTCAACAATCCAGTCACTAAGATATACCTCCCTGAAATGACTTCTTGCAGGTTGGGATGTCTGCCATTGTTGACTCCAAAGCTGTGCTGGATAAACAGCGAGCGTGCGTGTGCGACAGTAGGCTGCGGTAGGTAATTCCGACAATTCCGCTTCCAACCTGTAGGGCGACCGCTGAGGAAAAGTTCCTTGGTGTTGATTTAAATGAACCATCTAAAGGCCCTCTCAGACAGGCTTTCAAGAACCTTAGACTGCAACCAGGTTTCAAATCCTTGATTGTAAATGATCAAGAGCTGTTTATTATTCTGTTCAAACCCCTAGCCAACCAAGGAAAAATCTAAACTAAAACAGCTAAATGGAATGTGACAACACAAAGCATTTCTTATAAGGCAGGATTTTAATTCATTGGAGTCCTGCTGCAATAAGGAATTGTCTCCCCTGAGATGTAAAACGTCCTGTGAAACTGGAGGGGTAAAATGGGAACAAGACTCTTAATTGATCTGGCCTCTTTCCCTGGTTGAGTTTGTAAAGAACAGCTGTTTGGTATACATGTTGAATCATTCACATTCAATGTAGGTCAGCAACAGAATGACCCAGAACAAGAAGGCAAAATTCATCCCGAGAATGGGATGAATATCAAACTACAGACATACTGTAACAGCTGGCAAATCTCTTTGAGAGAGAGCATTCAAAGTCCAAATAGCTTGTTCCTGTCCAGCACAATGATAAGATTAAAACCCAGTTACAGTAGTCCAAGTGCTCGTGTTTGAGATTTATTCAATAAAATTAATTGCATTGCATGCTGGGTTCTTTGGTTTGATTCAACTGATGAGCACAAAAAACAAAACAAAACAAAACAATTTTTCATACAAATTATTTTTTTCTATCCCCTCCGACTCAAATAAACTCATCTTACTTTGAATTTGTTAAGATATTACAACACGCAATTTATTGTACAGATTTCTCATGACAAATTTCTTGTACTTCATGAAAAGGACCATATTCTACGGAGCCCCTAAAAGGACATGGTAAAGAAGAAGAAAAAATGAGATGGGAGGAACACTTATTTGGCAATGCTTTTGCATTCAATCGCAAATGTTTCGGGTTCCCGCGTGAAACGCGAACGCAAAGTGTCTCAGGGGGAATGCAAAAACATAGATCTATTATTTTTCCTCCCATCTCATATTTTTTTCCACCACCATGTCCCCTTATGGGCTGCGTAATATTCTACAAATTCGGAGCATATTTATTTTTTTATACACTTGTGTTTATTGCAATTTAGTCATTCATTTCAGACCTGCAGTTGCAGTCAAGTCTCCATAAATGATTTGTGAATGTTAGATTATGTCTACACAGTATCAACCCCTTTTTTTTTTCAAAACAGCAAGAAAAATCCTGTTTTCCAAGATACGCTCCCTATAAATGTTTCATGTTTGGAGGTGGTGGTGTGGGATGAAGGTGCTGAGGTTGCCATATTGCCCTAAAACCACAATACTCACCCCTCCCACTCGCTCGAAGTGGTTCACGTCTTGATGGAAATCGATGGGCTGACCGTTGAAGGCCCAGGAGAAGGCCACGTCCAAGGCTGGATCGGCAGTCACCTGGCAGAGAAGCACGATGCTCTCCCCCACAGTGATTTCAGTGCTGCTGGGGCCCTGGCTGATCCTCGTGGGCTCTGTTAGTTACAGTGCCAACACAGTCTGTCAGTTTAGCTCTGGGACACAAACTAAAGCGAGAGAACTTCTTCTATGACCAGGCAAATAACAAGACAATCACTCTCTTCCAAAAACCTAGCGAGCTGTCTCTGAAAGCATTGCAAGGCATCATGCTCCCGACCCAAAGGCTGTTCCAGAAGGGTATAGGCTGCATAACTATTCTGCATTATAATACTAAAATCCACCGCAACAATTGAGACAAATGTCAATTATAAATACACTTATATTTCACTAAATAATGAAATGCATCAATAAAAAATATTTCAAAATAGTTAAAAGTCACATTTTAACCCAAACTTGTATGCAAATAATACACTAATACATTAATTTATTTATAATACAAGGCTTGATTGGATGAGCCACATTTGAACTGTTAAAAAGTAAACAAAAGACTAAAATTATTATATTGAGGACATGAGGAAAAAATATGTATAAATGAATCAGCAATAAAAAAAAACATATTCCAAGCTTATAACATATTATGATATAACATACACTATGCATAAACATTTCATTTTTACAATTTAGAAATTTAAAAATGAGACACCAATGTTATTTAAACATTATTTATAAATGAATTAAATTGTTTTGTGATTCTGTGATAAAACAAAAACTTTCATCAAAAAAAATTGTTACAATATTTTGCCTATATAATATATTAATTCAAATACTGCATGATTGGGGCATAACAATGATCTGCATGGTAAGAATGACCCTATTGTGATTATTATTATTAACATATGTATTGAACACATTGCTATGGTCCTGATGAGCAGTAGGCCATGCACTCGAGGCTGTGGGTTAGCATTTTTACCACAGCCTGCGGTGGTTTATTGCAGTAATAAATAATCATAATTTCTAGGTGCTATACTTAGATTTTTGGCTGCTGTCTTTCCATATGGGGACTATTAATTTGAGAAGAACATAAAGTGGATTTTAATAAGAGCCAAATGAATTGGCAGAATGTCTACTGTGAACAGAATACAGTTGGGTGAAGGCACTTTGTGAGGGAAAGGTCATTTTAATTAAATTACATTATGGAGGTCAACTGCCGGTGCATGACAAAAACATAATGAGAGAAAAATACAAGGAAGAGAAGAAAGAGAAACCCTGCAAAAGACGTATGGGCTCACATAGAGGTCTCAATGGTACATAGCTAATGAGTTTCTTCTGATTTGCCATGAAAATACTGCTGATTAAACCCGTAACCTATGTGATGAAGAACAAAAGTGAGGAATAACATTCATCCTATAGCGTAACGAGGATATAACAATCCACACGGATAATGGCCACAGCAATTAAGGTTGACCTTAACAATGAGCAATTAGCGTAACATGGACTGAACTGTATGGAAGATTGAAGCAAGAGGGCATATGAACTAAACTAGAGAAGACAATGTTAAACGTCCACAATATAGGTGGTTAACTTAAAGGGCCAGTTCACCCAAAGAGAATATTTCATCAACTTCAATATTCAATAACAAAATATCAATATTTCAACTCAACTTCATGTAGTTCCAAAGCGGTCCAAAACTGTATTTTTTCAGTGAATCACAAAATGAGAAATTAACAGAGTAAGTCCATGCAAGAACAGTAAGTCCATTCTTCATATTTTCTCCTTTTGTGTTCCAATCATACGAGTTCTGATTCTGAACAACATGATGATGAGTAAATGATGACAGAATGAACATTTTGGGGTGAACTATTACTTAAACAAGAGTTTGAAAAGATCTCTTAAAACTTTTACACATAGAGACTTGACAACAAAAGCTATTTGTCTTGAAACAGAGTAGAGGCATTGTGTGAGACTTCTCAGTCTGCTTGATTATATAAAACAAAACTTATGCTTTGTGATTTTTTGACTTGAAAGGCTGACAACGATGACAACAGCAACTTAGAAGAATGAAGATGTCAGTTGGCTAATACATTTCTTGAAACAGCTGAAGCAATGCATTATGATACGTGCCAGATGTGGCATTTCATTCAAAGCTAATCATAGTTAAACCATCAAGAGTACAGTATCTGAGTCAACAATGAGAGTGAACTGGGCTGTGTATTTTCTGCACAGCAAAAATAAAGCTGTTATTCATCCAAAGCTACTTTAGAGTCTAAAGCTAAATGTATGATTATCAAAAGAATCCCAAAACGTTTTTGAAAGAAATGAATCGGCTTTTTTTACAACAAAGAAATTATATTTTGTCTTTGCTTGGAGAATAAATTTTTTTTCTTTTTGTTTGGCTTTTTGCTATTTTTTTATTATTGTAATGGAAAATAGAAAAGGGCCACAGTAAATAGTGAGGTGAGAGAAACAGAGGAGAAACCGGATCTGGAAAATATTGCAAGCAGAATTTGAATAAAACACTTTGATCGAGAATATAAAACACAATGACTCACCTGTGATTATCAGTCTTCCTGTTGTGCTAGCAGTGCCAAATTGATTTTTAGCGATGCACGTGTAACTACCTCCTTCTCTCTTAGTTACGTTGGCAATCTTAAGAGTTCCATTGGGGAAGAGGGAAATCCTTGAGAGTAATAGATAATTGATAAACATCACAAAAAAAAAAAAATCAATAAATCACATGGCCAAAGTCTTCAGTGTGATAAAATATAAACTCAAAAGCTAAATACCTTTCGTTTCTTTGCAGTATCTCAGTCCCTTTTTTCCACAGGCTAATGGCTCTGGGCGAAGCATGTGGTCTGCAATCTAGGCTAACGTCACTACCCGAGCGAGCCTTAAGCACTCGGCTCAAAGGATTCTGGGAGAAGCTGGGAGCAGAGGCTGTAGGAGACAGAGAGATTTAGTCCTCAGACTCACACTCAATGGAATCTGTGATGAACAGCAATTGACGTTCAAACCGCCTCTGGCGAAAAAAAAAGGAAGAAAGCCTTTTAGAAAAGTCTAAAGGACTTTACAAATAAAGCTGTCCGCTTCCACTGGCTGCTTCCAGGCCATTTGTATTTAACTAAACCTACATTTTGCTGTGCCATTCTGTGCTGTATCTTCAAAAGGCGCCATTTATTTGACACTGGCCTCGTACGAACAATACTGACCAATGTGTTCTGATTAAAATGAATACATTTCAGAATCAATGGGGGAAATATGAGTGTTACAATGGAGCACTTAATCACATGGATGTTTTCAGCACTGCCTTGTAATTTGAGCTTGGGCTGTGACTACTCAAAGTTTTATCATTCAAATGAAGGATGGAGAGCAGGCAGTGGAAACGCAGAGGTCGTACCAAGCACCATCAGTTCGGCGCTGGAATAAATGATGCCGTGCTTGTTCTCCGCCACACACTGATACATCCCGCCATCTGAGAGGTTTAGCGAGGAGATGGAGAGCGCGCCGTTCTCTATTTGCACTCGGCCCTGTAGACACATACACAAACAATCACAGGAAAATGGTTGCTATGCGGTAGCTGGGTTGCTTGATTTTCTTACTGGTCAAAAGTCAAAAGATTCTATGATATTCTGGTCACTAGATATGGTTTGGGTCCCTCCTTCAAAGCAGGGTTATTATAGGTAATAAAAAAACTTAAAAACGTATTTTATTTCAGCTAGTTGCCAATGAAACCTCTCGTTTTTATTTAGTTTAACTTGATGTACTAAAGTAACTCAAACTAAAATAAAAACTAAGAAAAAACTATATAGGCTGAAAACAAATAAAATAACGATAAATAAAATAAATAAATATGACAAAAACAACAAAATGACCAAAAAAAAAAAAAAAAAAAATTATAAAAATAAAAACGAATGTAAAATTATTATTAAAAACTATTATAATATCTCAATGATACAAAAATAACACTGATTTACTGTGTCTATGGGATTTTGTCTAAATAAAATTCAAAATAAAACATTTAAAACTAAAATCAATCATTTTAAAAGCTACAAGTGAATTCATCCATTGCAACTTGAACATTAAAACTATGAAAATGGATATTGATGGCTTGCCACAAATTATACATTTGACAGTGTTATTAAATCATTTAAATGTAAAAAATATGGGAACTGAAAAATTTGATATCCAATATCAGCCAATGTATATCCAATATCAACCGATAAAAACACTTTAACACTGAAAGTCTGTTGGGTTGAACATCTAAGGATGGGTTTGGAGAGGGTGGAGGAGGTTACAAAGGAGAAAGAGGGAAAAAATGCTGACCCTCTGCTCCGATGAACAGAAAAGAAACGTTGAACATAACAGTAAAATACTAATGGCCAATTCATTTGGCATGGGCACCCAGTCGGAAAAGTATATGAGACAGGAAGGGAGGTGTTGAGTTGATGGTTCTGCTAATGGCATAGCAGACATTTAAGCCTATCGGCTGTTTTTTAAGGGCTGACCTCAGCACAAAGAGTCACAAGGAGAGATTGACGTGATGTGTGATGGAAGGGAGGGGAAGAGGTGCGGGTCACTCTCTGCTTGAATGCAGGTCACATCTAATGGAGTCTTTCTGCTGCCTTATAACTGCTTTTGTTTGTTGATGGGAGTCTCTCCTACTTAAACACATGTTGGCTTTTTTCCCCCTCGCTTTTATGTCAGCAATGAGAATATGTTTGCATTGACCTTGAACTACAGTACAGTAAGAGCAGATAAAGCCCTAAAGTACCTCAGATATAAGAGTGTCTCCGTTCTTCAGCCAGCTATAAGAGGGCTTTGGTTTCCCATTGGCTTTGCACTCCCAAAACAGATTCTCCTCAATGGACAATGCTGTGTCTGTCGTTGTTTGCAGCCAATGAGGTGTTGCTGTGGAAAGAAAGCACATTGATCAATCAAACAATGGATAAAGGGTAAATGATGGACATATTAAATGATACACATAAATTAAATTTTACACTTGCATATTAAAACACGCCACATTACACAAGGCTAATAGATTCAAAGGCCTTGATGACAGAAACAATTAAAGTAAAAGTTCACCCAATAATGAAAAATCCATCATTGTTTTTTCACCCTACAACTTATATCAAACTTATATGTCTTTTTTTTCATCTATGCAAAACTAAAGGAGATGCTAGGCTTCTCCTGGTTGCTTTTTACCCATACATTTAAGTACATTTGCATACATCCCCCCCCCCCCCCCCCCCCCCCCCCATACATTTTACTTAAAAAAAAAAAAATCTTACTTGTCCTTAAACTTTGCCATAAATCAGATTCACAAGGGTGGGAAAATGATGACACCATTTTTCTATTCCTTCAAAGTTAGTTGACTTACAGACAGCAAATCCCACATTCAATTAAATTGCTCTAATCACACAGTGTGAACCCTGAATTATTAATTATAATCAGAAAAGGCTGCAATATGAGAATAAGCCGCTTCACCACCTCCAAAAAGGCTCGCCATACACTCATTTGCTAGTCTGTATAATATTGACTGCATGCTTGACACTCCTATAACAACAAACAATAGACGACTCATTTCACAAGAGCCATGTGAATATGAATCTAACTACTGAAGTAAGATGTTCAATGAATAAATCAATTCAATCACACTACAGCACATGCTCCGTTCCGAGCTACAAATCCTTTGACCTCCTTCTGGAAGCTTTATTATCCTTTTGGCTGGCAAACACTCCAGTGCCACGTACAGAGTCTTGAGATCAATTAACACATTTGTATGATTGCATTTCTCTTCACAAATGTTCATTTAAAAAAACCTAGGATAAGACCTATGAATCCTTTAAGACCGACACCAATCCAGTGCTTTTCAAACTGCTTGTTTTCTGCACAAAGTCAAATAGTGGAAGAGACAATCTACTTTGGCAAGGCAAACTCCCGTTTTCACAGCATATAGATGAATATTTATTCATACAGTCATTGCAAAGACAGAAAATTCAAAAAGTCTTGTGTGTTAGATAAGGAAGCTTGTTTCCGCCACTGACTAAAAAATTACAAAAGGTAATTGCGACTTTTTATCTCACAATTATGACTTTTTTCTCAGAATTGCAAGACTCGCAGACTCTCAATTGCAAATTATAAAGTCTGAATTGCAAGATATAAACTCGCAATTCTGAGAAATAAAGTCAGAATTGCGAGTTTATATCTCACAATTTTGCGAGTTTATACCTTGCAATTAAGACTTTATAACTTTTTTCCTCGCAATTGTGAGTTTATATCTGGCAATTCTGACTTTTTTTGTGGTAAATGCAAGATTTAAAATCTCAATAAAAACTTGGAATTGTGAGCTGACTTTCTCCCCTTCGAATTGAACCCGATAACTCGCAATTACAATTGTATATTTTCCAACTCTCAGAAAAAAAAAGGGAATTTCTAGGTGTGTGTTTGTGTGTGTAATGTATGTAAGTGTGTTCTGCATTTGGGATGTTCTGTGGTCGTATTCTTTAATTTGTGTGTGTGTGTGTGTGTGTACTGAAAACCCGTTTTCTTTATTTCCCATTCATTCCTATGGGGGTCAAATTGACCCGCGAGGAAAGGATTCGTTACTATTATTAATACAACAACTACAAAAACTGTTTTTGTGTCTGTTCCAATTTCAATTTCAAAACTCACAAAGTTTTGTACCACTCTGATAAACACTCAATTTAAAAAAAAATTAAGAAAAATTATTTGAGGAGAGGATAAAGGTAAAGGGTATACAATTATTAATACAACAATGCCATATATTTCAAATTAAGCTTGACTTTTCATGGAATGCCACTGTGACCTTCTACAATGAGGTGCTCATTGCAGAAGGTCACAATCACGTGAATCATGAAATGTCATGTCTCTCAAGGACACAAGTCAAATGAGACACTTGTTATGACATGTCCTCAATGTGAGTTATGACATATATGGCATAGCGAGGTTGTGTGCTGTTTAACGTGCCATAATGGCAGTAGACAATGTCATAATTATGCCACTCCAGGTAGTATAGAACCTTATAAAACTGGTAACGAATCATGCCAAACTTACAATAGCTTTGCTTTCTTTCTGGTAAACATTATGACTGAAATATTTTCTTCAGACATATATATATATATATATATATATATATATATGTCTGAAGATGTATATATATGTATTCAGTAACAAAAATATCTTTTTTATAAATAAAATGCAAATAAATTATTTTAAATAAATAAATAAAGTTAACAATATAAAGTGGCATTCTGTGCTGTCTTAATATAAAATGTTTTTTATTGATTAAATTCATGTCTTTTTAATAAATTGATATGGAGGCAGTTGGATCCCCTACAAACTCAAATTAAGTCAACCATAATACTTTATCCTGTGTTCATTTTTCTCAAAAGATTAAACATAAATCATAATGTTCTCACTGCAAAAATTTTATTTTATTTCTATAAAACACCTCCAAATGAATAAATAACTGCAGTATAACTGATGCCACTGTCTACTGATTTATTACTCCAGTTTCAAGCCGGGACAGAACTGCCATATGGCAACAGTCATAATTTTTCAAATTACTGTAAATCTTGATTAGTAAAAGTTGATCTCTCAACAGAAGCATCTATTTACTTATCGGATAACAAATTCAAAAGGTAGAAAATGTTGACAAGCGTGTTTATGATATAAGATGGAAAGAGAAAGAGGTATTAAATGACAAATACATATAAGAAAATAACCTAGAACAACTCACCATGGAAAGACACGCGACCCCTTGCAGCATTCTTTCCACGACTGTTTTCCGCTATGCACTCATACGTCCCTGTGTCCTCTTGTTGAAAACTCGGAATCTCCAGAATGGCATTAGAATTTTTCAGTTTGACTTTGTTTGGGAATAAAACGTCACTGGTTCTTCTCCAGCTGATCTTAGGAACTGGACTGTGAAACCGAAGCAGAGCCACCATTAGTAGTTAGACAAATCCATATGAAAGATACTTTCACCTAAAGCAAATATACTTTTTTTTAATTAGTATGTTAATTGCCTGGAAAACAAATCCATGACCTTGGCATTGCTACGGTAGACATTTTTTGACAAGTGTATTTATCCAAAGTGACATAGGCTACATTGCATCCAAGCTACGCATTTTGCATTTACATTTATGCATTTGGAAAACACTTTTATTCAAAGCATTCAAGGTTTTTAATCATTAATGTATTCTGTAGGAATCAAATTTACGACCTTGGCATTGCGAGCTTCATTTTCCACCAGGTAAACAATTTTTTTTCATTCACACAATTCCATTTGAGCTATTACATGGTCTGGTTCCAGAATTATGAACTATGGTTAAATGTAATGTTTGGTGAGTAGAAATCCATTTAGCAGATGCTTTTATCTAAAGTGTCATAAAATTAATTATAGCTATGCATTTCATAATTTTTAATTATTGTTAATAATTATTATCAATGTATAAGTTCTGGGTCAGTACGATTTTTTTTTTCATGTATACTTTTATGCAGCAAGGATGCATTCAATTGATCAAAAGTTACAGTAAAGACTTGGTATTGTTATTAAATTAACTTCATCAAGTTAAAAGTATCATCAAATAATCCTAAAAAAAAAATGATTAAGCAGCACACAATCTCTTAAGCACCAAATCAGCATATTAGAATGATTTCTGAAGGACATTTCTACGATGGCCGAGACAGCTCAACGCGCTGCAACTGAAGCAAACACATGCAAATAGCAAAAAACACATGCAAATAGAAAAAAACACCTGCAAATTAAAAAAAAACATCTTCATCAGTTTCACAACACACGTGTGCTCCAAATACAGAAACGCGCTGCAAAAGTTCACAACTCAACCAAACACAGAAAACGCGCTGCAAATAACACACAACGGAAATGTTTCCAGGGGAACCAAATAAGTGACGAACCCGGCTGGGACGTGCTTATTGCTCGTGAGCTTCCCTATGCCCTACTCCATTCGAAGGGCAGATTGCAGAGCCCTTAAAGTGGGACTGTGGAGTGAGCAGGGCTCTAGTGGGCAGGGCTCTTATGCAGAACCGGTAGTGTTTTTTCAAAAATACCGGAACCGTGCGAAATTCCTGAGATTCGGTTCCGAAAACGGTTCTGATGCGATGTTTGGACGAAGTGCTGGGAGCTTATCCTTTAATAGCGACGTCTCACCACATGAATATTAAAATTGTAATGAATGCACTGTCCCTCGCGCTATTCGTATAACAAGTTACTTCTTTTTTTTTTTGCGTCAGATATCAACGCAGAGAGAGAGAATAAAGACAGTAGAGCTGCACCATTAATCTTTAAAGGGGTCATATAATGGTACATGCACTTTTACAAGTTGATTGTACTGAAATGTGTGTTGGCAGTGCCTGTACACAAACATCATATAATGATAAAAATCCATCCAGTGGTTTTGTTTTAATCTCCTTATATGTTTTCCCCTGCCTCAAATCGAGCCGTTCGTTTTTGTGACGTCAATAAAAACGGACACCCCTCCCACGATTGTTGATTGACGGGAGCGTTTCAACACAGACCCGCCCTCGCACATGAGGTAGCTGTCAATCATAGTCTGCGCGGCGCGGACCGGACCGGCGCGGTCATTGTTGATGTGCCGGAGCACTGTCTATGAGTAGAATGGCGTCTAAGCGATTGTGGTGTTCTGTTCTTGGGTGTAATAACGAACACAGTCATTTTAATGTTCCTGAATCCGAACCGCTGAAGACGCAGTGGCTGAGTTTTGTTTTCGAAGGGAATATTCCACACGAGCAACGTCAATGCTTTCATGTTTGCGCGAATCATTTCACACACCAGACTGCTTATAAACGAGGGTCAGTATAAAGCTGGATTTGCTGAGAAGCATTGCTAAAAAGGATCGGTACCAGATATTCGTGTTCCTGCTAAACCTCCAGAAGAATGGAAGTGAGTGAAACGTTTTATTAAACTTTATATTAATATATTAATCTTTGCAAATCGCTAGCTGCACGCTTCACAACGAATGCGTCTAAGGTTTACACTCAGGGTACATTACGGCATGTTTTCTATGTATGACGTTCTCAATATAATTCATAATTCCACGTTTATACTGAACAACGCGTTATGGTTATTGTGTTATTGTGTTACAAACGGTGTATGCACAGAACAGAGGGGCGGAGTGAGCGCAGCTCATGATCATTTAAAGTCATATGCACTGAAACGGCGTGCTGAAAACAGAGCTGTTTTTGACCAGGTAAAATAAGTGTTTTCTTACAATACTAATGAGAATTTTTAATTAAAGTATATTACAAACTTTTAATTTAGACCCTAAAGAATCATATTAGCTTGTACAAAAATGCCATTATATGACCCCTTTAAATGATCTTGAACACCCACGCGATCTTATTCCTAAATGACAAAAACTTCACACCGGGACATTCAAATCTGTTTGCGCTGTCGCTGACCCAGAGAGAGCAGTTCTACATGAAACAGCTAGCTTTACTTTCAGTCTTTTCAACAACACAGTATCGATATTTCTGTGTTAACAATATTCAAATGATCACAGAAGTACTGAGATAAAAGTTTATAGTTCGAGAATAAACACTGATGTCTACTGTAGCAACCAAAACAGTTAATCACCTTTTGAAAGTCGCTTCAAATAACGAAAATTCGCTTCAGAATTTACAAAATGTATATAATGAGCGATTACATCATGAATGCCTTTTTTCAAAACGTGTTTTTGTCTTATCCTGAATCACTACGGTAAGGCTGTAATAAGCGTTTAGACTCGGACTACTTTACACTGGTCGGTTCGGCACTGCTGCGGAGTAGCCCAGTGCCTGCGTGACTCACCCGCGTCATAGACATAAACATAGAGAAGTAGCTCCGGCTACAATGTTCTTCCGCAAGACACATGCATTTCTGTTTATTAAAGGGATACTCCACTTTTTTTGGAAATAGGCTCATTTTACAACTCCCCCAGAGTTAAACTGTTGAGTTTTACCGTTTTTGAATCCATTCAGCCGATCTCCGGTTCTGGCGGTACCACTTTTAGCATAGCTTAGCATACATCACTGAAGTGGACAAGACCATTAGCATTTCTCAAAAAAAAATGACCAAAGAGTTTCGATATTTTTCCTATTTAAAACTTGACTCTTCTGTAGTTACATCGTGCACTAAGACCGACGGAAAATGTAAAGTTGCGATTTTCTAGGCTGATATGGCTAGGAACTATACTCTCATTCCTGCGTAATAATCAAGAAACTTCACTGCCGTACTATGAGTGCAGCAGGCGTAATGATATGACGCAGCGCCTGAAAATAGTTGGAGTGCAGTGCACAGGGAATACAATCCAACACATTGGGGTACTTTAGAGTTCACAATTATGCATTATTAGCCTTAAATGGGCATGTCCACGGAGTAAACAATGATATGACACAGCGCCTGAAAATAGGCCACCTTCCGTCAACACAGCGGAACTATTTTCCCGAGCTCCAAGTCGGCTTGGTTTCCAAGATTTTCTCGGGTTTCCAAGATATATATATATAAAAAAACATACCAACTGTAACTTATTTGACAGGGCCCCTTTGTGCACTCCGTGGTCAATGCATTAATAGGTCATAATTCGTGATTTTTAATGTTTTTATTACTTAAAAATAGAGTACAGTGCACAGGGAATACAATCCAACACGTTGGGGTACTTTAGAGTTCACAATTATGCATTATTAGCCTTAAATGGGCATGTCCACGGAGTGCACAAAGGGGCCCTGTCGAATAAGTTACAGGTGTCAGGTCCCACTTGTAACTTGTTTGACAGGGCCCCTTAATGCACTCCGTGGTCAATGCATTAATAGGTCATATTTCGTAAATATAAATATATTATTACTTACAATATCCAGTAAAGTGCACAGGAAAGACATTCAAACACGTTGGGGTACTTTACAGTTCATAATTATGCATTATTAGCCTTAAAACGACATGTCCACGGAGTGCACAAAGGGGCCCTGTCAAATAAGTTACAGGTGTCAGGTTCCACTTGTAACTTGTTTGACAGGGCCCCTTAATGCACTCCGTGGTCAATGCATTAATAGGTCATATTTCATAATTATACATGTTTTATTTCTCTAAACAGCCAGTACAGTGCACAGGGAAGACAATCCAACATGTTGGGGTACTTTACAGTTTATAATTATGCAATATTAGCCATAAAATGACATGTCCACGGAGTGCACAAAGGGGCCCTGTCAAATAAGTTACAGGTGGAAGGTTCACCAAACGCCTATGAAAATGAATGGGATAAGTTGCACGTGTCAGTGGCTCCCGTGCGGCCCCCGGGGGTCCGAGGGGCCCCAAACTCGTCAAAAAGTTGCGTCACGTGGCCCTCTGCGACATACCGAGCGGGCGAGGTCGAGACGCGCCAAGTTTATTTTTAGCTATTTTTTATGCACCTCTCTGTCTCACATTGATCTCTATAGGAGCACATGTCTGCTAGGGTCAATTCAGCAGTTAGAATCAGAGGGCCTATTAGGCTCAGGAAGCATCTAGAGCCACGAAACTCTGGGGCCCGATTCGGGGGCCCGTGGCGGTCGTCCGTGGCGAATCTCGAGGTCCTGCGACCTTTTGACCCCCTTGAGCGGCTGTTTGTTTGACGTCCCACGTGCGACTTGTTCCATGGGGCTGTTGGTGGCCAATTAGCGTGAAAAAAAGTCAGAGGGACACGGAACTTTAGAACCCGTCCCCGGGGCCCGTGACGAGACGCGTGTGTCAGTTTCGGGCCGATCGGGCCTTTCCAACAAGCCGCTTTGCTGGAACCCACACTTAGAACCGATCTAGAACCACCAAATCCAGGATCTAGAACCGGGGGCCCCCGGACTACCGCCGTGCCGAGTTTGGGGCCGCTGCGACCTTTCGACCCCTTTTGGCCCCCGTTTGTTTGACGGCCCAC